CGCCATCATTTTCCTTCTTCTTCTTTTCTCTCCAAAGATATTCTCTTTTTTTCCGTTTCTCTTCTTGTCTCAACATCATCTTATCATCCATCTCAACAATCACACAAATCTGATTCTCATCTCTATTGTGCTACCCACAACCCGTGCTACCCTGCATATTATATACACTCTATGGTACTAAAGGTCAGGACCTTTCAAAGTATCGATAAGATTTTGCTCTCTCTTTTTTTCCTTCTTGTCGTTTACAACACAAAAATGTGTACAAAAAGAGGTTATTTGTTCCTGTGACAAATGCTCAAAAGAAGTAGATTCAACATTATCAATTAGTCCATTAAAAAGGATTCACTTAAAACTGTTTAACATCTTGTCCATTGGATATTGTCCACTCAAATTGTCAACCAAATTGTCCATCAAAGTGTCTTGAAGCAAGAGAGAGAAAAAATGATGTACTAATTTATCAGTTAAATTGTCAAATTAACTGATTTGCTCTTCAGTATTGAGAAAGTATTGAATATCCATGTTATTTGAGTCAAATGAAATGTCTATTAGAGTTTCAATGGAAAACGTTAGTCACCAAAGAATCACTGTTCAATGTAAAGTTTAATCAACTTTTTTCTCAAACTGCTGTTCATTTATCAGTCGACAAATCTTGAATCCAATTAAGACTAAATTCAGCCTCAACTTTGACTCAATGACAAAATGAAATGTTTATTAGCATCAAATCAACTTTAGTCATCAATTGTGATTCAAAGTTGACAAGTTACAAGTCTTAGGCCTGTATTCACCAACTCAGATCAAAATCTTGAATCAACTGAGCGTTGAATGATCCTGATGATCAAATCTATTTTTTTATTCAACAAAGTTGTTTAATTGATCAAAGACTCAACAAAACAGATAAATGGTCCGAATGGTTCATATTGAACTGTGAACCAATCTAACCTAACCTAACCTAACCTAACTTAACCTAACCTTACATTTTAAACTCTTACAGATTTTGTCTGTAAAGGGTTCAACTCTGAATCATAAATGTTAACCCAAGCTTTGCGTTAATCAGCTCTAGTCATGGCACTTTGTCATGGTTTTATTGTCGCAATAATGCAAAATAATCTGATAATTTCAATAAAACTTGAAGTTGGAACATTTGTTTTCGAGAAACTGGAAAATTTGTAAATTGTTTGCTTTCTTTTGTCCGAAAACTTTGTACAAACAGAAAGTTGAAAATGAGCTGCATTGAATTACTGGGTTAGGTGTTACAAAGGTAAACACAAATATTCGTGATGTTACCTTATTAAAACCTCAAATAACCGTTAAATTGGTTTCTTTGCATTTATATCATTAACAAGTAACATATCTTCAATTGTAAACAGTTAACAGTGATGAAAAATTGTGCATAAACTTGTACTCTCATTGACTATCCTAATTCATCAACTGTAATTAATGATGTTCCTTTGTTAACAATGTACTTTAAATGTTACCAAAGGTAAGGTTAAAGGTTAGTTAGTTTCCATTGGTCATGGATAATCATGTAAATCACGATTAAAGGTAAAAAAGATTGAAAACAAAAAGCGCAAAGATAATCCATCAGTTTAATAACAATATTTGACTTTTACTCATTACTTTACTGGAACAACAAGAAATGTTCGTGTCGACTCCTTTTTTTGACGGCGCTAAACACGTACTGTTAATCACTGTAAACACGCATTCTGTTGGCTAAACTAATTAACTTGAAAGGTTAACTTTAATCTTGTGGATTGATTAGCCAAGGTAAAGGTAAACACCCATCCAGTTACACCTCATGTTTGGGTGTAAATAAAGTTACAATAAATCGAGATGGGTCAATGTTGACCAACAAGACAGTGATGGTTAAACTGGTTAAAGGGCAAACCGCAAAAGAATTGATTTGAAAATTGAAAGTTTGATTGATTCAAGAGCAATTATCCAATTAAATCAATTGAATGTTGTCCTGTCAAATTAGGTTAAAGTGTAATAACGATTTGATGATGATGATGATTGCTGTTCAATAGTTAAATGTATTTTGATAGTTTCATGTAACCTTATTGGAACCTCCTTACCAACCTCTTCTCCTCCTCGTCCATTGTTGTGCTTATAAAGGTGGACAAAGTACATTTGTCATCTACTTGGCCCACAATTTTACTAGTAACACTAATCAAAGAGAGAAGAATGAATGTCGAAGAAAACTGTTTATGAAGTGAAGAAGAAAAAAAAGTTGAGAAAAGTTGACATGAGAAATAAGAGGCAAAAGTCTTTCTCTTCGATTCTTGAGAAGTAAAGTTAAGTAGAATCGCCTGTGAAAAGGCAAATCTTTGTAAAAAAGGCATTTCGCTTTTATTATTATCAATGAAAATGGGAAGTTACTGTAGGAGGGCGATGCTTGGGGGGCTCACTATTGTACAAATTTAGTGATCCGAGTGATCAGGAAGGTTCGTTAAAAGTACCTTTTTATAAACACACAAACATCGACCTCCAAGTGGCCCTAACAGAGAGGAAGAAAGAGAGAGGAAAATAAAGGTGGAATCAATGTTAATCCTTACGAGACTTGTTTTTGGGTCAATATTGTTTCATCTCTTTATTGTCAAATGTCACCTACAGAGTGTCTACCGGGTGTCTTTTGACCCTTGGCCCTTCCAATTGGACAGTAATTTATAAAGAAAAATTGATAGATTTATAATCAAAGGTAAAAAAACGACACATTAAGTTTGTTCTAATCGATCAACAGTAAAAACCATTTGCGTTACATTTTGACCTTAATTTTGTTCCTTGTTTTTAGAGTTTCTTCACAAGTTTTTGACTCCAAAAGAAAAGTAAAATTTGCGGAAATTTCGAGTTTTAGAAAATTCTTAATTCATCTGATTTTCAAAAATCTAAACTCCTTTTTTGTTTCAAACCTGATTTTTGAAGGAGTTGAAATCGATAAGCAAAAGCGCGACTGGAAAAGTGAAAATTATTTGTAGTTTAATTGCGAAAATTGATTGCGATTCAACTTGATAATTCCGTTTCCATTTAAAATTGAACTTGAAAAATTTCGATCACTTGATATTCAATTTGCGTCTTTTCTCAAATCGATCACGTTTTATTGCATTTTATTTTAACTGATAAACTCAAATAATTCCTGACATATTCAAGCTCGATTCAAAATCTAAGATTAAATTGCTTTTTCAGTCACTTTGATAATCATGATAAACAACAAAACTCATAATCTTGATCAATTTTGCTCATTGATTGCAAAGAGAATCAGTTTAATCTGTTCGATCATTTACATTGAATAAACTGAAGTCTTTTCTTTCGGTTCATTTAATCATAGTCTTTGTCCGTCTCTTCAAATCAACCAAGTTTCCCATTGAAAACAGATTCAATTCCTAACGATATTCCTGTGTTGATAAAACTGGTTAACCCACAGACCTCACTGTTGTCAAGTTAATTGTCATTGAATAAACTGAAACCTCCCAAACAGTTTAAAACCTGGGTTAACTCAATTTTCACCAAACAGTGTTCCAGTGTTCCAACGACCTCCTATTGACTTTCAAATTGTTATCTTTAGTTTATGAATCAAAAATGGGAAAACAATTTGGCAAAGGACAGTTTTGTGTGTCCCGAGTTGACCTGCTGTGAAACTAACATCAACTTTTGTCCAATTCACATGAATCGATAGAGACAATTTAAAACGACTATTAAACTGCATTGAAAAGACAACAAAAACAGGAACAATAAATTTACTGCAATTTTTTAAAGCATTCACAAAATGATACAAAAAAAGAGCAAAAATTTTACCCAAAAAATGAGCATTTAAATTGAGATATTTGGCGATCTCAAATCAATCTTTTCTTCTCGAAAAAAGATAACTCAAGTTTGATCATCTCATGTCAACAATAATCAAATTAACCAATTACCTTTCCAATTTACATTAGTTTATTGTTTTAACTGTTGGTATCAATCATTGCAGGTTGACTCAGTGAGTTACCACAAGCTGGTTGACCCAAAGTTGAGGTCAAAGTTGACGAGCCCAGTCAAGGTTTAACCCTAAAGTTACCTTGAAATGTTGAGTCGAGTTGAAACTCATCAAGATACTCATCGACTTCAAGTCATATTTAACTGTCAAACTTGTCCTTTGGGAAAACCATTTTTACCTTTTTCTTTTCGTAAAAAAACGTTTCAGGTAAACTGATTAATCGCATGAAGAGTAATTAAAGAGGAAAAGATTGATGAATTGAAAACAAATGGTTTCACTTTACAGTCACACTTGTAAGGTAAAAGAGTAAATTCATGAAAACAACTTGAACAGATAATCCTAACGGAAACATGATGAAACTGGGCGAACACACAAAAGTAACATTTCAATTGAAACATTTTTCCCAATCACAACATTTGCCTTTTGTTGCATTAAAAATGATTGTTAACTTTTCCTTTCATGAAAGGCATCAATTGAAATCAATTATTGCCATTGATAGTAAACAGTTGAATCTTTTTAATGGAAAACAATTTAAGTAAAAGTGATCTTGAATTACTGTTACCTTTGAAGCAACAACAGTCTAAGGCCATTTTGGCCGTCATTCAACAATGAAAAATGGTTTTTCAAGAGAAAACAAAATTCTCTCTTTTTCCCTCTTCTTTCAAAATTGGACACAAAAAAAAGGTTCTCTTCCAGGTTCCAAAATACCTTTTCGCCATCCAGGTAATCTTGTCTCTCTTCAGTTTAACAATCATCTTTCAAGGTAAAGGAAAGACTTGAGAGAAAGTTTCATTGTTTGTATCAATTTACTGCGACAACTTAATTCGTTTAATAAATTGTTGAAAAACACGCCATCTTCACTTACCTTTTTCCCTTCATCATCTTCATCATCTTCATTACCGTCTCTTCTTCCCATACTAATGATAAGTTTCCGGTTAAATTAAGTTGCTAGCGATTGTTGACTTTTTGTCACAAAATTGGACATTTGTTTCAAGTTCAACATTTGCCTTTTCGAAATTCAATTTCTCCAAAATTAATGTTCGCTCAAGCAATCGATTATTCCTTTACTTGCGTTCACAATTTATATTTATTTTCATTTAGATACAGTTATAAGTACTATGAGATGATGAAGAGTGGGATGAGAATTGGGATAAAATGATAGTTACATTTGATTTACAATAAAATTGAAATTTAATTTTATTCAGTGTTTATTGAGTTTTGACAAAAAAAAGGTTGTTATGCATGTTAATTCAGTTTTATTATTAATTTGCTTTCCTTAGTCTTTCCTTCATCTGTTTATCAGCATTTAGTTTTCAGTTTGATTTGAATATATTTATGTATAATATTTATAAATGAGTAAAGTTGATTAACATGCATAAATCTGAAGATCTGTTTTGATAAGCTGTGATATTTTAGTTTCTCTCAGTTGGCTTGGTTCAGTGTTTTGCTTTTTTTGTGTCTTTTTGTGTTATCCATTTGTTGAGGAGTTTTTGGATGTTGGTCACATTGAAAAGAAGTTGATAAAAGGTAGAAAAAAGAAGGAAAGGAAAGAGAGAGAAAAGTAAGAGAGATGAAGTTGTTATATGCTGGTCAAATGATGGATTGGCCAGTGATGAGGGAGAACACAAACATGGATAATGAATAATGTTGATGATCAGGAAAAATGATGTCAAAATTCAATGTTTGAATTGACCTTTGTTGCTGCACATGATGATAAGAATGACAAGAATAAGTTTGCAACCAAAAAAGTTGATTAACTGCAGTGAAGTTGGACTTATAAGGGTTGACGACCAATCATCATAATGAGCGAGTTAACAATGCAAAAATGAAGAGGAATAACTTTTCTTGTCCTTTGTCAGGATTACCATGAGGATGATGATGAGGTTGGTGAAGATGATGATGATGATGATGAGAATGGTGGTGATATTGGCGAATGATGAATGCGAATGAAAATTAATTTATATTTATCAAGCCATCGCTCCAACCATGCTACTCGTGGAAGGCAAACCCAATCCTCCGGCTCCCATTGAACCCAGAATCTGTCCACTGGCCTGGAATGAAAGAGCTGATAGTCCATGACCTGGGTGATGTTGATTGGGTCCCATATGCATACCTGTGTGGCTGGACATGAAGTGTGATCCTCCCATTCCTAAAGGCATGTTTCCTGCTCCATGAACATAATGGTTAACGGCTGACATTGCTGACATCGAGCTCATGGCTGAACTGAGATGACCATGAGTGGGTGCAAAACTGCAGAATGGTTTAGATGGATCCAAAGGTTTTAAATGTGGAACTTCGGTTATGGGTAAAAGGCCTTTCTTTTTCTTTCCTTTTGACGATAATTTTCTATTTCGAGTTTGAATTCCATCCTTTTTCATAGTCAACGGTCGATTAACCTAAATAAAGAGGAAACAAGAAGAAATTTTTCAATTAAACAAAAAGGAGAAACAAAAAAAAAGGTTAAAAAAGCAAAATGTACAAACATTGAGGTTAGTAAAAAAAACAAGTTGAGTTGAAAACACTCAATTTACATAGAATTAAATTTCATCTGCTTTGAATTTATCGGTGTTTTATGTACAAATCTACACAATATATAAAGATGATGGACAATTCAACATTTAGAGGCAACTATTTTAAAAGACCTACAGCAAAAGGCTTTAATGCGTCCTTTTCAATCGAGACGACTTTCTAGAGTTGCCCATCTTTCTAACCTTTGGGTCTTGTTGAACGTATAAGTGTGAACGTAATGTCGAGAAGCAGAGACAGCACCGTTAATTACATTATTGTCTAACACTGATGTTATTGCTGAACGATAATATTCGATATCTTGCGATATTTATCGATATGCATCGATATTCACTCAATACTATCGGTTATTAAATAATATTGACTTTTCCTTATTAACGGCTTATTTTAACTTTCAGATGTTTACTGTTTCTGTTAATTCCTTTTTTAATTTCATATCTTTAATGATGACAAAAATCATTAAATTTTGAACTAGAATCTAGTTTTTAAGTTCATTTGCAAAGATTACATTTAACAAGCAAAGTCGCTAATCTCAACTCAATATCACATTATTTTGTCATTTGAATATCGCAATAATATTGATTACTTTAAATAACATTTTACCTTTCAATTGATACTTTTACAAATTTTTGCCCAATTTTGTTTCAATCAAACGATCCGTAGCATTTGTCAAGATTATCTAATTTCATCTGTTAATCTAAATCTTAATCTAACAATTCAAAGCCATTATTTTGTTCAACTCTCAAATGAACAGCAAATTATCTGATTAAGGTCATTGATTCAGGCAGAACACAAAAAATGGCAAAAACAGTGTTCACTGAAAACGCCCGTAGTTTCAATTACCTTTGAGTTAATAGCTAAATTCATCTGATAAATTATCGGACAAAGATGTTCATCGAGATAAAGATTTGTTTCACAACTCAACTGGTTACATGAAAGCAAATTGTCGCACAAATTCATTCACCAATAAAGAAACACGCAACATAATGGTTCAGGTAAAAGGTGAAAATTTACTTGTGAATCTTTCTTTTTCACCTTGTTTTACCTTTAATCTTATCGTTTAAATCTTTGGGTTATTTCACTTTGATAATCACCAAATGGATTTTGTTTCAAAATAAAACGAAAGCCCAAACTCTTGTTAATTGGCTCGAATCTATCAGGTCAATCTTTCCAATCGATTCAACTTTTACCTTTGTCAACCTGAGAAGCAATCTGTCTTCATCTTTCAGGTCATTCCAACTCTTTCCTCTTTACCCATCATGATAAAGCTAATTGCGATAATTGCAACAACAATTACAATTTCGTTCATTGACTTTCATCTAAACTGTAAACATAAATAAATCACTTCTATATGAATCAACAGCAAAATCAAAGTAAACTCACGATTCCACTTTTGAGCCAAAAAGTTAACCATGAAAATATGTTGATTCAATGATATATTATTAGCATTCTCACTTCTCGGTATAACCGGATAAACTGTGGCCTTGCATTGACCACAAAATTATAGTTGACCGAGTGTGAACCGATCAACCCAATCACACAATTGAACAACTTGAAACAGTAATAATAGAGCTTTTTGATAACATAATGATATCGTAACTTTGACGCATTTTCATGTTCAAACAGCAACTTGTTTAACATATAAATATCAGTTATCATATTTTGCTTCATTTTTCAGTTTCCATTATTTTTCCTTCTCTTTCTCTTTTCCCCTGAAAATTGAACATTAAAATTTCTCAGCTTTAATTATGTTTATCATCACCTTGTTGGGAGCAGCAAGATGATGATGGTTATGAAATGAGAAACATTTTTTAATAGGAAATGTTAGCCTCTTCCTTTTCATATCCATTTATACAATTTTCATAAGGATGTGCTCAGGATGCCAATGAATCTTCCTCTTTATTCAATTGTAATATTTACCGAGTCAAATCTTTTGTATTCTCAGTATCATCAACAACAATATTATCTTCATGATGATTCCAAAGTAAAAAAAAGGTAAATGAAAAGCCACAAACTTATCATCACCTCATCATCATTCAGAAGATTATAATGATTATCATTTCTTACCCTCAACAGAACCGGTTGTCCAATTGATAATAGTTAACAGATGATCTTGTTTAGGCTTATATTTATCTCTCTACTCTCTCACCTATTTATCATGGTCATCATTATCATCATTACACAATTATCTTCTCAACAGTGTAGCTGAAACACGCAACAAACAACAACAAAAAAACAAACAAAAATTAATCTAAAAGCGACTGTCAAATTATCATCTCAAAAGCAACAGATTTAACGACAAATGATCAGAAAGTTCAATCAAATTGAATCAATTATTTCCATCAAACATCATTAACAAAACGATGTTCATGTAAGTCAAGCCTAGTAATGAAATATTTATTACAATGAAATGAACATTTAATTCCTTTCTGATAATCGTCATCATTAACATTGAACTACTCAACATCAACCGATGTTTAACAATCAAATGTTTAACTTTGAATCTTTCAATTCAACTTCAAGTTGCAAGTCAGTTGAAACTAAAGATCATTGGAACCAAAATCACTTTAATCACTAAATCACTTCTTGAAACAAGTCCTAAAAGCATAAGAACCAAATCGACTGAAATTTAGTTTTGTTTCAATTTGTTTCATCTTTCAATTTTCATCTGAAGCCACTTTTTGTTCAATTGAAAGGTCGACTAATAATTTTGAAATTTAATTGCAAATTTTACTCATGATTCAAGTAATTACCTGATATCTGGTTATTATATCCAATGATAAGTCAACTCCATTAACTAATTTAATAAGCAAAGTGTAGGAAAAAAACGATAAACTCTGTTTTTTCTTAACTATCAACCCAAAGGCTGTTAATTTCAAGTTTGTTAATTTTGTTTTTTTGGCAATAGGACCAGATATCTCATTGATGTTTTGCTGAGTCTAAGGTTTTGCTTTTTCAAGGGTTGATTGACTGAAGTAAGGTTTGCTTGAACAAGATTGCAAGTTAATCTTATTATAAGTTAACTGTTGTTGAAACTGTAACCTAATGTTGATCATCATTATTATCATGATAATGGGAAAAAGTCTGTAACAACTCTTTCCTCCCATTCAATCAGAATAATTAAAGGAAAAAGTAAATTGTTTAATCCAATTTAAATTAACCAACCTGTGCTTTCTTAAAGACATTATTTAAACATCTTCAGAGCGGCAACGGTTTCTTCAACAGATTACCTTGAAAAGCGTTTCTTGTTTTTATTTCAATAAAATTATTGCTATTTCCAGTCAAGGTTAATTCATTAATTCATATCAAAATTAAACTTTTTTTGCTTCATGTTTTTTCCATTTACTTAATTATGATCAATAAACAGCTTGGATTGAACATTAATTAAACTTTCCCTGTTTCTTATGCAGAGTAAATCATTTTCAATCAATCAAGAGAAATTCATGTTTCTCAAGTCATCTTTTACTTTCATGCAAAAATGATGATCACAATCATAATATTTGGATAAGACCATTTGAGTGCTTCAAGCAAGATGGAAATGATTAGGATTGGAATCAAGTTCAATCAATGGAATTATACGGGTAATCTGAATATAAATGTTATTTTCCAGTTATTCTAAGCGAATCAGAACTAATAACTCAAATCTTCGAATCTTGCAAAATCGATCGAAATAAAAACGCATCTCGTTTGAGCAATAAAGTCTCGCGTTTAAAAACAACTGAAAATTGTTGCAGCAAAGTTACGAGTCTTCCACTGACTAACAACTAGACTTCAACCTAAAGCCTTCATATTGCCGTCACTTTTATCTATTGAGGTACTTCAACTCGCGACAATTTTATGTTGTTTAGCCATCAAAAGTCACATCAGGAAAATGAGTTTCATTAAAAAGCCAGATTCCATAATTGAACAAAAGGTGATCGAAGTTTCGACTTTGATCTCGATTTTCTCGAAAACTGTTTATCAGAGAAATTTTCAATAGCACTAATGGGCTCAGTTTTTATGCCCCTACAAACCCACAAAGTTCCTACTCTCAACTCGAAAGTCAAAGTTACGAGTCTTCCATTGACTAAAAACTAGACTTCAACCTAAACCCTTCATGCTTGCCCTTACAACTTTATCCATTGATCTGCCTTCAACTCAAGAGTCTAACGTTTTGAGAAAGCCTTTGATTTGAAGATTTAAAATGGAAAGTTTGTTGGAATCAAATCAACTCGAATCACTTTATTGAACACAGATCGTGTTTGCTATGAAAGGCTTTATCAATTTGTTGTTACAATAGTAATGTAAGCCGATGGTGACAATCGAGTGAAAATGTTTGTCATTTGAGGAAAGAGACACTCTACTCGACCTAATATTACATAGACGGTTAACATTTTGTTACTTTCAATGGACTAGATAGTGGTTAACCGCTAGATCTCAATCATTTTTTTGTTGTTGTTTCTGTTTCTGACGGACATCCTATGTGACATCCTTAGTGAATTAGTGTCTCAACTTACGAAGGGTGAGTTGAAAAAAGTAAAAGATAGAGATACGGAAAGATGAGGATGAGAATGATGGGTTTGGATGATAAAAAGAGACTGAATGTGGTTGTCACGGTTACAAAGTTTCTGGCTCCAGAAAGGCGAGAAGATGATTACTCTCAATATAATAATATATTCACTTACAAAGTATATATTTAGCATACCCACAATATTCATTCAAGTATATCAAGCTCACTTGGCACCAGACATTTTCCTGTGTCACACCAAAAACAAACCATTGCATTCTTGTTCACCCAAGGAAGGATAACATTTTATCCTTACAGCATCTCTCCTCCTTCCTCTTCATTATCATCATAATCATCATCATCAACTATAACATTATTTTTTATCATCATTTTCCTCTTTCATTTCTTCTCATCATCATGATCAACATCTCATAGACCAAGATTGCTGCTTTTCAATGTTGCAATTGTAACAAGTGAATCTCTTGATCGGATTAAAAGATTATCAGATTGAGCGATAAAAAAGGATGAAAATTTCAATGAATGGGACAATTTTGAAATCGCATTTTGATTAGAAGCAAAGTTTGCACATTTTGCGTTTACTGTTAGAAACAAACAAAAAAAGTTGAACTTACATTATGCAGTTTATAGTATAGACCACATGCATTGCAAACAGGCTCGCCATTCTGGTTACGGCGCCATAATGTTGTTGTTGATGTTTTACAATTGGCACAACTCGTCCCTGCTCTCCTTGATGCGGACTGTTGTTGGATAACACGAAGAAGAAGAAGAAATATTTGTTATTGTTGGTTCAATGGGAAGTTGTCAGTTTATTTAACCTTAACTTATCAATTGTCATTGCTCATCATCAGTAATGTTATATGCTATTACTTAACATTCTTGCTTTCAACCAACGAATTAACATTCTTGAGCTAATTTTTTTGCTCTTCTTTACAAACCAGATTAGAGTAAACTTGAAAAATGATTATCCAAGTTGACCGTTTTTAAACCAATATAATGTAACTTTTGTGTAAATGATACTTTACTCTTCAGATGCTGATACATGCCTTGATGCTGTTTTCACTGGTCCAAGTGACTTGATGCCTTTTAACCTTTCAATAAACTCAAGAAACAAAAACAATTTTCTGTTTTTCTTTCAAAATGCTTGGCATTCCTAAGAGTGTCGTTTTTTAGCGTCAATTTAGATGTACAGTTGACTCTCAATTTGCCAACATTGACTTCATTAGACAATATTTCACCCAAAAAATGGTAAAATAAACAAATGCTGTTAATAGCAGTTACAGTGACCTGTAATTGGATGATTGATTGACCAGTAAATTGATTTGTAACGAAAAAACAAAATGTAAATCAGGAGAAGAGAAGAAATTGCAGTAATTTGGAATAAATTGATTTAATGATTGGTTTGAAATCAATTTAACCTGCAATTATGTCTCCATGATATTTGAATATCACTTGTTAATGTGTGTCAATTTTGTCTCAATAAAGTCAATGTGTGTGGCCAGTTGACCAGTTGGAACAGTCTCTCTCTTTACCTGAATTCGTAATTTTTGTTTCTTCTTTTATCTTCAGAGAAGGTAAAAAGTGGGAAGAAAGAGTAATTTGAATAAAAGAAAGCAAAATGCATCATAAAATAAGCCTTACGGGAGTTATTTTGACTTGGAGTTTTTACCTTAAGATGATAAGTCAAAGTCAAGAGGCAACTCGGTTGTTGGTCTTTACCTGGCTCAGCGTCTTAATAATATTTTATTTCATCTGAATAAAAGCCAATTGTAACCACAAACACACACAAGATTAACTGTTGAAGCCTGTTGTTGAATACAGAAGAGGAAAACTCAAGTAGTGACAACTTGCTGGTTCCTTTTGTATCCATCATCTTTTATTGTTAGGTGATCGCATGTCCATACTGGGAGGAGTTGGGAGGAGTGAGATGATGATCACCATCGTCTTCATTATTATCACTTATTATCGAGAAGGAAAATAAGGTGAATCGGGTGGAGTTGATTCAATTGAAACACTTTTTTTTCTATGGTAAATAACAATGATGCCAACAATGTAAAAAATAAGTCAATGAATCAAAAGTTATTGATAAGTTGAGTTCATGGTTGAGCTAATTTTACTCCATTGGATATCTTGTTATATAGAGAAACTGTTTACTCATTATTAAGTTCAATATCAATTCATCAATAACATAATGAATAAAAAATCCGCCCTTTTCTCATAAAAAGAAAGAAAAGAAAAGAATCTCATTTTCACATTTTTATCAAGTCTACCAATAACCTAATGTCTTTCAAGTCTTGAACACATTTTACCCTTCAAGTCATCGAAGTAACGCATTTTTTTTGCAAAAAAAAACTTGATATGTATAAATCTATCCTAACCTAACCAAACCTAACCTCAACTTTAATCATTTGAACTTTTCGTCATTTTTGACTCACAACTAGAATCAAATAAACTTTGAATCACAAAATCACAAACTCTTTAGTCAATGTTAAGTAATGTAGAGGCTCATCGTAACCTTTTTTTCACAATAATGGCAAAACTTGTGAGATTAATCTAACCTAACCAAACCTAACCTCAAATTATTGAGCTGTTTTTGCATTTTGACTCACAATTGCAAATCAAATCAACTGTGAACGCTATCGCAACTGTATCGCTGTGTCACAATTCAAAATAAAACCTTTGAAATTTAACTTTTCATTGAATTTAGTAAAAATGTTAACTTATTCAACCAAATTGTTTATAAAATCAAATAAAATGTTGAATGAATAAATTGACCAAAATGAAGGTGAATAAACCTATGGCTAGCATTGAAGGTAAAAAAAGCTGAATCAATCAATTAGATAGTTTAAACTGAATATTATCTAGAGACTAAGCATGATTGAATGAAACTAAATGAGATTGAATAGGTTAACATTGAATAAGGTTAAATCACTTAATGATAATGATATAGTTTTGGCTATAATAATGAGCAATAACGGCAATAATAATACTAATAATAATAATAAATGTTTACAAGGTGCTGACATGAATTTATCTTGAGTATGATGAAACGTTGTATAAATGATGATGGATTGATGAGTTATTAGGCTTTTCTTCAATCAATGTAATTGAGCTGAAACCAGTAAAGAAGATGAACAAGAAAAAGTAAAAGCATTCCTTGTAGCACTCCCTAAGCTTGTAAAAAAAGAGCGAACAGAAAACGTTGGCACGAAGATAAAGATAAACTTTTTTTCCTTTTAAAGTAAAAGCCAAATAATAGAAGCTTATTAGTCTATTTTTTTTCCTCATCTTTTATTCTTTGGTGTTACATGTATATGTTGAGACGAGATAGATTAAATGTTATCCGATATCCGAGGGAAAACTGTTCATCTATCCAGCGATCAATTGGTCAAGAGCGCTCGGTGCTAATCTTAATGTGCCAATGAAAAGACAAATCATTTTATCCTTTCAACAAACGGTGGAAACAAACGCTAAAACAAGTTTACATGATAACCAGTTAATACAAGTTGACATGAATTGACACTGGATTTTCAAATGTTGTTGTTTTGTTATTTTGTTCAACTTCTTCTTCTTCCCAAACTTGCTCAGAATGATATATTCTTGGTGACAGAATTTGACAGAATTATTGAAACATAAAATTTAAAATTGGTTTCAATGTAGCCTTTTATTGCTTTAACCACGTTAATAAGGATTATTCAAACGTTTCAAATTTACGAGACAATCTGTCTGAATAGTTTCTAATACTTTATCTGATTATACTTTATCATCACCATTTTTTTACTTTCACATAAATCTTTTGATATTAACAGAACTCTTAGCATCCGCTTGTCTTCCTTCATTAACATCAGTTAAACCTTTTAATCGTGCTTCCTTAATCTTCCCAATCTGTTCCTGTTTACTCGACGTTGGCTAAATCAGAATGTCAGAATGTTAGTTGAAAAAAAGTATTAAAAGTTTAACTAACGAAACTAAAGGTTCTAAGGTCATGGTTTTGTGTCGCTTAAAGTGACTGCAACTTGTTCAATAATCAACACTTGAATCAATTAAATTGATAGCGAATCGAGATAATTGGTTAACTTGAAATCAATTGAGAAGTTGAGTGAAATTTCCTTTTCTTCATCCTTATTCGTTTCTCTTTTTTCTGTTGTTCTTTTTCCTTTTTTATCTGGAAATTTGGAAATGATTTAATCAGGATTTAATGTTACATTTAGATGGTAAAAACATTTGGATTAACTGATTAACCTTCTCAATTGCTCAATTGATTGTGTAAATCAAAAGATAACTTTACGCTTTTTTTACTCTTTTTGATCCAAATCTTTCAGTCAACTTGATCATCAATTGATGGCCTTTTTGATTCACTCAAACTGAAAGGTGATGAACCATAATTGACTTAATACTTTGTTTCAAGTTAAACTTGCATCTGAATCGATCAACTCGAAGAGTAAACAAAAATATTGTCCAACAATTTACTCGAAGCGTAAATAAAAGCAATTTAATTTACAATCGCAAACAAGTAAAGTTAATCCAACCTTTTTTATGAGCCAATTAGTTACCATGCAAGTTACACCACAATTGTCATGTTGACTGTCAGTTTGCGGTACATCAATTTAAAGACTATCAAAGTGTTCATTCGGTGCCTTTTCCCATTTATTATTATTATTAATCTCACACCATTTTGCACGCAATGGTAAAGCAAAAAACGAATCAAGAGAATGAAGAGAAATCGGTGAAAAAAAAGATTTGGATAAACGCGAAGAGCAAATACTGTTAGGTGTTGCTATTGAAGAGTGATACTTGAAGTGGATGATGCTAATGATGATGAGTGAATGGAAGAGGATAAAGATGACAGAGGAAAGAGCAACTATCAAACAAATTTTACGCTTATTTTACACCCTCAAGTCTAAATAGACTCCCTGATGAGTTGGGTTCCTCCTTCCTGGAGGATTCCCTGATGAGTCTCTTGTCACAAACAAAGTGATATTTAGTCAAACACTATTTACTGATTACATCGTTTAACTTGATAATATTTCTGCTGAGCAACAAATGAACGAATTGAAGAGACAAAATGAAAAGAGTTCATGAAAGTCACCTGAACATCAGAACACACTCAAGTATCAATCTTGGACAATTTCAACTGGCCGTAAGGCAAATGATGACAACAAGTTTCAAGCAAATAAAGCAGATTCAAACGTAAACATGGGAGACTGAAGTGAAGGGGAAAAGGATGGAGAGAGAAAAGTAAGAGAAGAAAATTGATAATCTTGGCTCCATCTTGATCAGCCTCGGGCCATTCCTCACCGCTTATATTCTTGGCCTTAGAAGCTCTTCTTTTTGAGGTTGTCATCATTGGTTTTCTTCTTTTTTTTCATTTTTTTCTCTCCTTTTTTTTCTTCTCTTCTCTTACAGATATTTTCAACAGAATTTGTTGCTTTTTTCCTTCGCCTCGCTCAACTTTCTTCGTCTAGACTTTTCTCTTTTCCCCTGGTTCGAGACAAAGACTGAGTTAAATGAAATTACCTTAAAAGGTCCAGTTGTTACCTTTTCTCATCTCTTCTTGCAATTGCAAGGCTTTTCTCTCCTCTCATTACCTTTACCTTTCCTTTTCCCTTTTCCTTAAAACTAAAGTATTGACCAAAAAAGGTGAACCAGAACATGACCCAAATGAGTCCAGACGGCGACGTTAACCTTAAATATTGACATAACCTTCACCTTGACCCATCAAATTATCTCATTTTACTGTTTAACCTTTAAACCCAAAGGAAATTTAACAAGTGTCTTTCAATGTCCAGTGGTGGACAAGCAATGACAATGAGCAATTAATTGAAGAGCAAAAAGGAAGAAAAAAGAGAAAAAAAAGTTGTAATTGATTAATAACTCACCAATCTTCTTTTGGGCTTTATTAAAGGTCTATTTTGACCATTCATTTTATGGTAAAGTCCACAAGCATTACAAAGGTAATGACCTGTTCCGTCTCGTCGCCAGAGAGGAGTTGAAGTAGCACCACAATTAACGCATTCACGGCCTTCTACATGATTAACATCAATCAAGAAAAGAAAATGAATTTGCATGTTAATTAAATGTTTACAGATAATAAGATAATTAAGTAAAGTAGGTGGTAATAATAGGGATTAAAGTGTGAATTCAAGTGTGAGCAGCTATTATGATAAGTGTCCAAAGGAGAACAGAATTGGAACAGAATTCAAGAAAAAAGGTCAAAGTTGAATGCAATTAGGTGTTGATTCAGGTTGGGATAAGGAGCCAGTAAACAGTCAATTATAAATTAATATTCAACATTTTCCTTTGCAAATGTTCAACTTTACTACCAAAAAACTTGGAATCCGGGAAAAGAAATGAACTTAAATTATAATTGATTGTTTTTGGTGAGCAAAAATGAAATGGAATAAAATTATTGAATAAAATTTTTTTTTCTTCTTTTGGCTTTTGTTGAGTGTTAATTGGTGATGAAGTAACCAGCATTTTATGGTAACAACGGCAGCAGCAGCCGTCACTTGGCCGAGGTTCACATCAAGTCTCTCTGGTCGTTTTGATTCACAATTAAATTCAATTGCAACAGTTTAATCGATTATCAAAATATTCAGTTGAAATTAAATTTCCTTTAAAAAGTCAAAACCTTGAGACAAGTAAATGACAAAAGCGTCTACATAAACAGGCGTAACAGTTAATTGTTTAAACATTTGATTGTAATCCAAGTAAATTAAAGAGTCAACGCAAGTGTGACTATAACTATTTAGATTCATTGGTCAGATAATTAATCACTTTTCAGAATTTGACAGTTGCGAATTAAAGCAATCTCTTGATTGTCGACAATTAACTGTAAACATAATAAATGAACAAAAATTGAATCAAATTTCGTTTCTTTTCTTCTTCTTCTCCATCAACACTCATTTGATACCTTAAAGTATCACAATTAAAGAGGAAAAACTTTTCACTTTAAATAATCATTTCTGATCATCTAATCTCATCATTCAAGGGATTGTAATTTAATTGAGGCAATTCTTCAAGATGATTAATAATAAAGAGAAAAGTAAAGTTGCTCTTCTCGACCAAAAAAAGGATGAAATCATTGAATTTTCAGCTCATTTCTCAAAGAAGATTAACTTTGAAAAAGAAAGAATTAATTGACCGAATTAATTAATTAATCACTTGTAATTCTTTCTCATGCAAACTCGTTACGTTCAACTTGATTGATTCCCCGGAGTTTCAATGAAAAATGCCATTTTCTGTCCCAAAATAGGAAGAGAGAGACAGAAAAATTGAAAAGCTTAAAAAATGAATGAAATGATGAACACGCTTAAGACGAGCGAATTTAACTTTTCAAACCGACTCTCAACGGCCACTAACTGTCGACCAAAATAAGCTTATGTAAATCAAGTTAATCAATGAATTAAGTTGCTTTCAATTATCAAGTGAATGTCTGTTTAACCAACATTTGTTGACCTTTTTCTGCTTCTGTTGTCGTCTCAAGTCTCTTTTTAAACATGAAGATAACCATGAAATTGCTTTGAAAAGTGGTCAACTCAGTCAACTCTGTAAATGTTGAATTAGCAAGCATGAAGCTAACAGATTTGTTGGTTTGCGCGTTAATTGTTGTCATCCTTTTAGATGGATGAGTCCACAATTAGATGGATTAAACGGAAATTTGAATAACTTAAAGTCTTGTTTTTTTACAACTTTTTGTTCGCTCTCTTCAAGTCAACCTTGCTTCTTGTCCAACCTCACCATTTGCCTGAAGCGCTTTCAATTTAATCGAGTTTCTCTAATTGTGTGGCCTTTCATTTACAATTAGCATTTCACTGTTACTCAATTGTATTGCATTTATGGTTAATCACTTAATTGCTAATTGATTCAATGATTCTGTGGTTAAGTCTAATTACAACCTTTTCTGTAAACTGTTTGCTCTCTTACCTGTTAATTATCTAACCAACAGGTAACAGTTAATCCATTAAACCATTTTATTGGTTTTGTGATGAAGAGAGACAAATTGTGATTGATTGTTTCAATCATTTCGCCATTTTTATGTTTAACATTGCCTTAGGAAGGAAACAGTTTAACCAATTAAAAGTACAATTGTAATCAAGAGATGGAAATGAAAAGAAGAAGAAAAAATTGAAATTTTCTCAAAATTCAACTTTAACCTGAATCTTATTTTGCATTAAAATTGCAATTTATTACAAATGCTTTTTCACTGAAAAGATGATTAAAAGGGAAAATTGGTAAATGATTGATTTAAACATTGATTAATGATGAAAGCTGATTCCAAAGAGAATCAATAACAACTGATAAATAGTTTGCTCGCCTTTGGCTGAGTAAAGTTGACCAACTAAGATGACCAATGTTGATCCAAATTTTAATGACAAAAACTTCTTTTTTTACGGAAAAGTCTTATTCAGGTCAAATGCATAGAGTCATCCTGACCAGTTAGACCATTATATTGATCTGATAAAGTTTTCAAATTTTCATGTGAATCAATGAATTACTGGTTTGATCCGGTAGATTTGTTCATCTTCAAGATTAATTTCATTCTCTTCATTTCTTCTTCTTTTACTGCAAAATGAAACTTATTCAGATAATGACGATGCTGATGATGATGATGATGATGGTTAAATAGCCTAACAAACCCCTGGGTTAGGAGAGAAGAGCAAATGATTTATTCTTGGCCCAGCCTGGAAAAGCCTGTTAATAGCCATTTTCCGTTTTCATGTTACCCGTTGAAATAGCTGATAATGGTTACGACTCTAAACTCAGCGTGAAAAGGTTCATCTTAACCGATTGACTGATTATCTCCTGAAGATACTTTTCACACAAATTTCCTACAAAATTACTCAATTTGGTTAACTCCATAAAGACGTCAATGTAAAGATTATTAATAAAAAAGTAACTTTACGCTTCCAAAGGTAACCAACATTTTTTATTGACTTTCATTGGAGAGACTTGTGAGACTTGCAGCCAAATTCAAACATTGAAAGCTTATTCTAATTGTTCTGATGTTTTATTCAGGGAAAGTTGCGACTCATGAAAGGCCATAATTCAAGTCTTGATGTACTAATTGTTTCAAGTAAAGTAAAGGTAACGAAGTAACGAAGTAAAACAGGGAAGAAAAGCAAAGAGTAAAGGGAAAAGTTTTTACTCTGTTCATACATTATGACCGGCATTTTGACAAGTTATTAGCTGGATCCATGTCAAAGTACAATTAAGTTAATTGTTGACAATTAAAAGTTTCAAAATATTAAGTAGAAGATGAAAGAGAGAGAGAGAAAGAAAAAGGTGAAAAAGAAATGTTAGTCTAACATTGTTTTACTTTTCCTATTTTATACTTGGTTTGGTTGCTTTTTGTGGGTAAAACTCGTTCGGCCGCAAATTATAACAACAAACCTTGAAAATGGTTTTCAGTCGTTTTGTTGCCAATTGAAAGACTTGATATTATTCAACATTTTGCTCTTTACTGAGCCTCACCTTAGAACAGCTTTCTCATATTATTTATTGTCAGAGAAAAGAGAGAAACAAAAAAAAAGTTGAAATGAAAACTGAAAATGCATTAAGCTAATTTGCAATCGAAGACAACCTTTTCAACTTTCATAATGAGAGCAATTAACGATCATTACTCAATTGATTGTGCAAATGATTGAAAGAAATGATTTGCAACTTGAATCAGTTGAACTTGAATTATCAATGAAAAAGTTATCGAAGTAAAGTTGAGAAGACAAATTAGTATCAAAGTATCTATTTTATCGGCTTTAAGACAGCTTTGAACGGTTAATTTACAGAATCAGTTCAGTTGTTGGTTTTCATCTTTTCGTGTTTACTTGTTAAAATGAGATGAAGAGCGAGATGAAGAGAGGAGTGACTGCCACCCAGTTTGGTAGTTAATTTGATAAAATTAAAGTAATTTGATGAAACTCCATTTTCAGGTTTGAATTAACTTGATTCCAAGTAAACCTTCGAGGCTTCTCTCACTGTTCAACAAAAGTAAACAACAAAAGCGAGAAGTTCAGTTGTTCAGTGAAATGTTTCTCCTTATTTTTCTTGTTCTTCTTCGTGAAACAGCAAAGAGAAAAAAAATGAAAATCAAAAATTAAATAAGAGCTTATTAACTTTAATAATAACTGATAATAATGATAATCTTGAATAATCCCTGTTGAGCCCATCATCATCATTATCAACATCACAGGGTGGCCTTTGCTTACTATTCAATATAATGTGACACTAAATATTTTGTTACATTCATTGGTAATTAATCATTTTTGGTGCAAGCACTTGCGCTTGTTCAGCATCTCTTTTTTTCAATGAATCACAATAAAAGAAATTAAATTTCAGGTTTACATCAAAACATTGAATTTACAATATTAAACTTGATTCTAATGATTGATCTATTACATGAAACATTTGTTTGCACATGCAGCCAGCAAGTATGGATAAATGGTATAAACAAACAAAAATTGTATGAATAAATGAAGTAAAGCATCATTTTTCATCTCTCAACTTCATCTTTTAGTTTCATCTTTAACATCATCTTTCAACTTTTCAGTTTTCTTCTTTTTTCCCCACTTTTCTTTAGCTCACTTTTACTTCTTAAACACAATCAACTTGCAACAAGTTTCATGTAACATTTCACAGTCACTCAAGGCTGATAATTCATATGCAAAAGTCAACAATTTATTACCTTTATCTCACTTGATTTGAAGGAAAATAAAGTATTTCTTGTCATTCAATTTTTCACCTGAAGTTCACTCTGCTGTTTATCAGGCTTCAATTTCATTATTAAAAAGTTCAATGTTTTGTATCAAAAATCAAAGCTCATCATTGATCTGTGAGTAACAGTTGATTTATTGCAAAAGATGAGTTTCTTTTGTTTCGAGGTTTGTCTCAAAGTTTAATCTGAATGTTGGCTCAGAGGTTGACTTAGGTTAGGTTCGGTTAGGTTAGGAATGACTAAAGTTTAACCTGACTGAGAGGTTTATATGAATAACTTTACTAAGAGGTTGATTCACTTGCTTTGGTTAGAAA